TAAAGCTATGTTCATACAATACTTTTGACATTTTGGAACTATTAAATTTTTGGAAAGACATTATATTAATTGTATATTTTTTCTAACAAAATACCAAATCAAATATTATTATTTTTAAAATTCCAAAATTTTATACTATTATCTAAAATGAGACAAGAATTTGTGGTATAATATTTAATTAAAAGAATAAGACTATTTTTATTTAAAATCTTATTAATTGAATAATATTGAATTTGATTTGGGACCAACATAAATACATAATCTGATGTGCCCAATTTTTATTTATGTATATTTATGGTAGATTTAAATACATAATATTCATTTTACTCTTTAATTTACCAATAATTGACCAATCTCGTCAGTAACACAGTATTTAAACTACCAGTGTTTAATTAGTTAATAATAGTGAATTATGATATTATTTTATTATGTAATTGATAATATTGGTAGTTTAAAAATAAATTTAATATATATGATTACAAAATTTAGAATATGTATTTAAATATATTTAAAATTATATCGCAATAAAGAATATACATAAAATATGAATGAAGTATTATTTTGTATAGAAGATTTTTTTTTTTATATAATACAAGTAAATAAAAAATATATTTTTATTTATTTATAATTAATATAAACTAATTTTATAAAAAACATGGAGTTTTAAATATAGATAAAAATATTTTATATTTTGTTTTTTTGTTTTTAGTAAAAAGATAGAAATAAAAAGGGTTTTAAGTGAGTCCTATATAATATTATATGTTACGTAGTTAATTAAGTTTATTTATATTTGTTAAATATGTTTTGATTTAATAAATTTGACTAAAACTAAAAAGATATCAATTTTTATAAGACATATAAAAATAGAAAATGCGTCGATTAAAATGAGACCATACGGAGTTTTTTTATTAGCAAAAGCTTATTCGTACAACCGGCTGTAAGTAGATATAGATATTTTATAAACAATTTTTTTAGCTAATATTTAAAATAATTACAAAATTATACTCCCTCCGTCTCGTTGAAAGGGTGGCATTTGCTTTTTGCATGTAGATTTTTTAATATTAGTATTATATTGGATTATAGTAAAAAGACAAAAATACCCCTATTAGTATGGTATAATATAAAAGTAATGACATTTGTATAATATTTTGTAAGTTGAAAGGGTATTTATTATGTTAAGTAGGTAGTATAATTACTAAATTAAGAAATGATAACCTTGTTTTGGGACGGACGAAAATGAAAAATGGTAACCTTTCAATGAGACGGAGGGAGTATTATAAATTATACTATTTCCGTTTCAATTCAATGTATTTTTATTTACAAAAATATCTATTTTTTATTATTGTAAAAAAATCTATATAATTATATGTTAAAAAATAATATTATACATTTGTATTAATTAGTAAAATATTACTCCTTCTGTCCCAGATACCATGTCCACGTTGTCGTTTCTGTCCGTCCCACATACCATGTCACTTTCCTTTTTTTGGAAAATGATTATACACTTTAATCTCATTTTAAATTTTTAAATTTTATGTTTTTTTAAAAATTTTAATTAAACTAATTAGTTATCTTAATCTTAATTTATAATTATTTATATTATAGGATAATTATTTTCCATAATACATTCTTAATTATCTATACTAATTACATCCCTCCTAAAATACCGTGTCTACAGTGTAGCAGATACGGTATTTGGAACGGAGGGAGTAATATTTTTTAATCTGCTTTAAAAAAAAAAAAAGAATCAGTGATTTGGAACAACATAATTAAATACATTTTAATTAAAAATATAAAATATGTAAATTCTAACTATATATTTGTTTATTAATTATGTTGGTGCATGTACATGTTTAGTTAGATAGTGCTTATATTTTGATATTTTGTGAAATGATAATATATTTTATTAATATTGTAAAATATAAGATATTTATATATGATAAAGAATAATATTAAGAAACATTAATTATTGGACGTAATTAGATGAATTATGAATATATCTATTTCTACTAACTTCGTCCGGTTTTAAAGGTCTCATTTATTTTTTGCGAGTTAATTTTTTAATATTAATTATTATATCAAAACGTAGTACAAATTAAAAAAAATTAAAAAAAAAAATTATTAATAAAAATATACAAATATAAAAATATTTTTAATATTAAAATATAATAACACAAAAACCCGGAGAGGAAGTATTTAATAAATGATTTGTGACAATGTTGACTTAGATATAAAGTACATTAGCTGTGTTTAATTAATTTTAGTTTTTAGGGTTTAATTAAATTTAAAAAAAAATTAATTTAATTTGCATGGCAGCACGTGACACTGCTTCGAGATAGTCACTAGTTGTAATAAATAAATAAATAAATAGATGTTGGATTTAATGTAATAATAGTTTGGGTTTTTGTCGTGACGTGGGAATCAATCAACGGTCCTGAAAATTGAATAGAAGCTTGTGTGAATATATTTATAATTTTATTTTTTATTTTTATTTTTTATGTTTATGACGAGATATATTTATAATTATATATATAGTATATTGTTATATGGTCCACTACCATATTTCACGTAGACGGCACGTGACAGCTAAGCGGAGCACGTGACCGTACAGAAGATCAAGAGTTGAGTTTTAGATTTGAGGATCGACTGTAATACGGCGTCCTTCCGTCACGCGCCGTCCACGTGACCGACCTCCCCATTCCAGCTATGGTGTGTTTGGTTGTTAGTAGAAAGTTGGAATGGATGAGATATTGATCTATATATATATATATATATATTTGATTTATAATATAATATATATTTATTTAAAATAAATTAAACATGTGTGTTTAAATAATTATAACATTACATTTTAATAAATTATTCAATATAAATATCATTATATATATAAAAAAAAAATTATACTCTCTCCGTCTCGGAACTATAGTCTTAGTTGTGTTGAACATGAGATTCAAGGAATATTAATATTATATTGATACTGAGTAAAATATATAGGTAAAAAATTTTTTTTGCTCTTGTGAGTGTATTAGTGTAAAAGGTAGTGACAATTGTATAATAATAATGAAAGAGTAAGGGTAGTTTTACAGTGACATTATTATTTATGGAAATAAGACTATTGTGTTGTGACGGACAAAAATAGTAAACAAAACTATTGTATTGGGACGGAGGGGAATATTAAACTTCCTTTTATTTGCGAAGTTTATTTTTGATAGTACATTTTTTTAAATAGTACTCCCTCCATTTTATATTGTATGTCTGAATTACTGTAGACATTAGAATTTAAAATAAATATAATTAGTAGATAATTAAAAATAAATTAGTAAAAATAATTATCATATAATATAAATAATTATAGATTAAACTTATCATAACTAATTAATTTAATTAAAAATAAAAAAATAAAATGAGATTAAAGTGTGTAATTATTTGAAAAAAAAAAACATGAGATGTTAACCGACATAAAAGACAATGTAGAAATGATAAGTGAGACAGATGAATAATTGGAACTCTTTATTTTATAAAAAAATTAAATGTGAAAAATATATCTATCTAAAGTAAATATACAAATAAAAATTATAAATGAATCTCTTTTTTAAAAATAAAAAAAAATTATTTTTCATATCAATTAAAAATTGTACTATTTAATCAATTATATTGTTAATAAAAATAAATTATTATTATTTTTTAAATATCAAATGGACTTATCATTCACGTAATATTTGAAATGTGTATATATATTGAAATTAATTATTTTATTTTCTACCGAGCAAGATGTGACAACTTAACTAAATTTGTCTTGGAATTTCTGATCTAATTATTTTCTAATAATACAAGTCTCCAATGTTCTATTTTGATTTCCACTGCCTTATAATTTTTGTCTAATTAATTTATAATTATTATTTATATTCAAACCGAACATATATATATTATTTTATTTTATTCGTCTTTATATAAATATCACAGCTGCATCTATGCTACTTATTAAATTTTATTTAATTTTTGTAGACATGATATAAATTAATATATATATATACATATATCATTTATAATGTATACAATACTCTTTTTAAATATATATGAATATAATATAATATAACATATTAATTAATATTATGTGACAATAATTTATATTCGATTCTAAGGGTTATATTTACCTTTTACATAATTGTATTTAACATTAAAAATATTATTATATTTGTATAATTTTTAATACAAATGTTCTTCTGTTAGTATTATAAGATACTAATAAAAATATTTTTACCAATTTCTCTTGATTTGTATTCGGTCTCAATATAATAATTAATATTTAAATATTAATACACAAAAAATAAATGTGGTCCTTCCGGACTGAGATAATACCATATATGTCAGTATTGTTTTTCTTCTTATAAAATATAATATTAAAATATTATTTAAATAAAAATTCAAATCAACGATTCATATCAAATTAATTTCAAAGTAGAACCAAACAAACTATATACTTTATTCGTCCCTTATCTATTTATCTGTTTGCTTTTTACACAGAGTTTTATGATTATTAATATTATATTGGGATGCAGTATATAAAGCTAAAATAATTTTATTAGTATTATGTGATACAAATGTAATGATATCTGTGTAACACTACTTGTAAGTTGTAAAGATATTTAATGTTAGTAGAAAATATCATTATTAAAAAAATAAATATTTTGTTATGAAATGAACAAAAATAAAAAAAAATTAATAAATTGTCGGGGGACGGTGATAGTATATATTATGTGTAATAGTGCAATATGCTTAGGACTAGCTAGTAAGCTCAAGACTCTTGAAACTTTGAACAAAATTAATTATTCCATGTGTTTACCAATGCTATTTTATTTATTTATTTTTAAAACACATAATTTAAATAAAAAATCCAAATTTATAAAAAAATATCAATGCCTAGGGTTAGTCAAGAATTTATTACGAAAATTAAATTTACACAACCGACATAAAATTATAAACTATTTTATTTAAGCTCTCCCAGTCCTCACCTATTCCCCAAACCCCAATTAAAACCACCTCCCCCAGATCCGCCGCCCGCCGCCGCCTATGTAGCTCGCCGGCGCCGCCACCGGACCACCGCAATGGGCCGCCCATCTCAAAAGCGCCACCGCACCTCCGCCATGTCCCAGACCCTCCCCTCCTCCCCCACCCACTCCTCCTCCTCCTCCGATTTCGAATTCACCATTTCCATCTCGCCGCGAAAATCCTCCGCCGCCCTCTGCCCCGCCGACGAGCTCTTCTACAAGGGGCAGCTCCTCCCCCTCCACCTCTCCTCCCGCCTCTCCATGGTACGGACTCTCCTCCTCTCCTCCGCCTCCACCTCCTCCTCCTCCGACACCACCACCACCGCCTCCCGCGACTCCACCGCCTCCTCCTCCTCCTCCTCCTCCGCCGCCGATCTCTGCGACTCCTCCCGCCCCAGCTCCGTCGCCGACGACGAATTCAAACGCCTCACCGGCGCCGCCGTAAGAAAACCCTCAAAATACTTCTCTCTATCAAAATTCTCCGCCGTCTTCCGCAACAAGGAGACCGGCGGCGGCTCCGGCGGAGGCGCCGCCGTGAGACGGGTCAGCACAACCGCGAAGGAAGTCATCCGGAAGTACTTGAAAAAGGTGAAGCCTTTCTACGAAAGGCTCTCTCAGAAGCACCCTCCGCCGCCGGCCAAAGCTTCCCGGCCTCCGGCGCCACCGCCGCCGCCTTCAATTAACAGCCACCAGAAAGATTCTTCGAATATTCCGTTATCGTTCTCAGGGAATCTTTGGTACCCTCGAAGACGGAGAAGCTGCAATTCGAGCTGCCCGTCGTCGATGATGTCATCCCCAACCCGAACCGGGTACGGGTTCGGGCAGGGGCAGGGGCAGGGGCAAATGGGTCGGGCTGGTGGGCCGAATTCGGACTCGTCTTCCATGGAAGAGCTGCAGAATGCGATTCAGGGAGCCATTGCACATTGTAAGAACTCATTGCTCAAGAACAAGATCAGTTGAAGACGAAATTGAAATTAAAATTAAAACTAAAATTAATATTCTAATTTAATTTTGGCTTTCTGTTTTTTGTTTTTAAATTGTGGTTTTTCTGGATTTATGTAAAATAATTATTAACTGAGATCAGCAATTTCTTCGACGTTGTTTATGAATCTGGGCTTAGTTATTTTCTGGTTTAGTATTGATTTGAATTTTATTTATTTAATTTTGGGGTTGCGTAAGAATCTTGCATGTGTTTATTGTAATTTCAATTTTCAAGATTATTTATTTAATTTAATGTGCAGTTTGGAGACGAATCTTGAATTGAGGTGACTGGACATACGAACACTTGTAAAAGACAAGTACATATCAAACTATCGTTAGTACATGTGCAAATATGGGGCATTCGTTTATGTTTTCGAGTAATTTTTCTTTTAAAAAAATATTTGAATATTTTATATAAAAATTATTAGTATTATTATTACAGCAAAAATTATTTTTGTCCAATTCAATATCATTATTATAAATATTGGTTCCATTAAAATTTTTGTATCAATTTTGATCTCATTTAAATGAAAAATTTATCAATTTTAGTTTCAAGATGATTGACTGGGACCATACACGACCCTATTTTATATATTAAAATTAAATATAAATGTGTTTGCTTGTAGGTTTTTGACAGTTTTTACAATCTATGAATTATTTTTTCTTTTAAAATTATACTAAATCGAATTTATAATTTTTATATTTTATATTACGTTTCAAAGTTTTTTTTTTAATCCAAAATATATGTTACATAACATATATTAATATTAATTATTTTTTTATCCAAAATCAAATAACTACTACTATTTATTCTACACAATTTTTAATAAAAATATATTATTTTTTATAAACAAAACATCACATCAAAATATTAATTAAACGAAAACTCAAATCAACATTCCATTTTAAATCAATTTTAAATCAACAAATAAAAAATAAAAAATAAAAATTATATGCCATGTTTTATTTGTATTTCAAGTTTTGCTATTTCTAAGCTAAAATAGCAATTAGTTGTGATATTTTGTGTGAAAAATAAATATTTTTTTGTAAACCAAAATTAAATGTTTGAATAGTAAAATATACTTATATATATATATATATATATATGAATGAACAAACCCTAAATGAATCCATTAGCTTTTCTTCCCAATCAAATTTTTTCTTTTTATTTGAACTATATATATATACACACACACGCTGGGGGGGGGGGGGAGACAATATATTGATTTTTTTTTTTTTATCGATTTAATGTTGTATTTTTCGATTTCTCCTAGCACAATCGGGTAAAAAAAAGAAAAAAAAATTAAAAAAATTAAATGTTTTAGAAGAAAATTGAACAAAACTATGTAAAATTTAATATTTTTTACTAAAAAAAAAGATAAATTTTAAAGGTTAAAAGTATAGATCAATAAATGAGCAAAATTTTTATTATTTTCTACACTATAAATTAAAAATTAGGGAAGCAAATCAATAAAAAAAAAAAAAACATAATTTTATTATTTTTTAAATTAATAGATAAAAAAATTTTGGGGGCTGGGGATTCAGTTGCCCCCTAGCCTCTATGTAGATCCGTCTATGTACAGATATATACGTTTCGTTTCATGGGGCAAGTGACCTATTGATGAGAGGAAATCATTATTGGTATGCTTAATTGTGTTTTTTCATGTCTAAATTTTATCTAATAAAAAATAAGTATTTGATATCATATGAATATAAATATTATTTTTATAGGAAATTATAATGTATATATAAATATATATATATATAAAAGAATAGAGACTAAAAAAGATGTATGTACACACCCTATAGGTCAAGTTGTGATGAAGAAGAGGTTTATATCCACATGATGTAGGGTAGACAAGTCTTATCATATAATTCCTCACATATATATATATATATATGTGTGTGAAAATTTTTAATTTTAATTTTAATTGAATATATATAACATATATCTATGAAACTTTATTATGTCATATGGTTCCATACGTTATATCATATGACATTAATTTGATTCCTAAATTTTAAAATGAAATATTCATAAATGATCATTTTCAAGATAAAAATAAGAGTATATAATCATATGAAAAATTATACCATCAAAACATAGTCAAAATCATCGAGAATTTTTAACAAAAAACTGAATAGCTACGAACGATATTGAATAAAGATATTGAAAATAATTTTATTATTTTGTTATTACTTTGAATAACTACGAACAATAATAAGAAAATTTTATAGTTGTTTTCGTTACTTATGCTGTGACATTTAATTTTAAAAAGTCATGAAAATTATATTATGACAATTTCTGTAATAATTTAAAATGTTGAAAATATTTTGATTATTTTTGCTGCAACTTAAAATAGTCAATAAAAAATTTCGTGACAATTTTTGTGATGAAATAGTCAAAAGACACGGAATAGAAATATTTTGAATATTTTCGTTACATAAGCCGTTATTTTAAATAGTCACAGAAAGTTGTTTGTAGCTTTTTCTGCAAATATTACTTACGGACTAGTCAAAACAAAAAGTTGTGACATAAATTTATCATGAAATTACTTTCCGTGACTTTTAATTGTCACGGATTAAAATTTGCGACAAATTTTCGCAATTATCAACATTTTTTCTAGTAGTGTCAACAAATTAGATTTTTAAAATTTAATTTCTTCATTCGAGTCGTGCCATGATATTTTAATTTAACATTGTATCATACATTTTTTTTTCCTCATGCAGAACATAATAACTTAAAAACTGATTTCTTTTTATTAAAAAGTCACTAATTTATATTAAAATTGTATCATACATTTTGTTTTTCCTCATGCCGAACATAATAACTTAAAACTGATTTTTTTTTTTTTTCATTAAAAAGTCACTAATTTATATTAAAATTGTATTTTTATTTTATTTTATTTTTTTTCCCGCAATCATAGTTCAATTTTCTGGCAGTGAGTGACAATTCATAAGTCAATATACCACATTGTATTAACTTAGCCACTCGTTACATTATGTACATGAATTTTATTTATTTATTTATTTATTTTTATTTTTATTTTTATTTTTAATAGAAGATGAATTTTAATTCTTGTTTGTATGTGTGCTTAGAGTGCAAGAAATTCATGATTGAAGACACTTAGTTAATTTTGTAACTCACATCCTACAATGATTAATAACCAAATAGGCATGAATTGGAAAGCACACACACATGTATATAAATATATATATTATTACACAAAACTTATTGTAATTAATTATTTGGCTTAGTGTCATGCCAACGTCCAGCCTCACTTGATTTTGCAAAGGACCACCTTAAGCTTCAACGTACATATCATACACACACATACATATATATATATATATTTGGCTGAGGGTTTCCCCGTGTACATTTTCGGTTAGCGGTTGCGGATTTCTACGTCACATATATATATAGTCGGCCGAGGTCATATATATATATATTGTCCCGACACCTTCAAGTCATATATGTCACATATAGTTCGTTTAGTTTGACTTGTTTTGCCAAATTTAGTTTACAAATTATTAGATTTGACTGAATATTTATTCAGAATGCACTCGAAAGTTAACAGTTACGAATTTTCACGTCATCAATATATATATAGCTCAAGTGGTGGAGCCTGAACCTTAAAATTGAAGTAATAAAATTAGAGTATTTAATAACAACTAAATTTTAGATGTGGTTTTAAATAAAAATGTTTTTCGAATACATTATTATTATTATTATTATTATTATTTATTTATTTATTTATTTTGATATCGTGGAACCGTGGTCATAAAAAATTTATATGTATATATAATAACATATAGTTCAACCCATTTTTAATAGATCCAATATTAAATGGGCCTAGTTTTGGCGTTTTATGGTTACTATAGGGCTGGATATTATTAGATTATTTGTAAAAATTTGAAAATTTGATATTCTAATTAAATTAATCAAATATTTGAAATTGAGAATCACTAACTTATGTTTGTTTTATGAGAGTGTTAGAAAGATTTTTATTTTATTGTATATAAAATTGTTTAGAAAATATACCAATAATAAATGTGTGTATTATATTAATTTATTTGGAAACATGGGAAGAAAATTAGAAAAGACAGCCTAAAATGTTCAATTAATTGAATTTTAAATATTTGCTTTATTTACAACAAAATAGAATCTAAAAATACATTCAATTAATAATTTAAATTCGAATTAACTGAAAAATATATATATATATTAAAATAATGTTTGATTGAATCTCTCACAAGAGGAACAATTGTATATATTTTTTCGAAAAGACGAAATCTAAATAGTAAAATTTGAAAATTTAATGCAAAAGAAATACATCTTTAATTGTGATTGATGACATTTGAGGCAGATTCAGAGTCTAAAAAACTATACTTCGAGATGGATTGCGGGTTCTATCGAAACCCTGCCCCACCTCGGACCCGAATCTGGATACATTAATAATTATTAGAAATAATATATATTTATATAATATAATTATACTATTATTTAAAAATTTTTAAACATAAAACAAAAATTTAATTTCTAAATCAAATATGTTTTGATGTTTTTTTTAGCTCAATTCTCTTTACAATCGGGACTACTGCAGTCGCCTCATCCGTGGCCCCCTCCGCCTATTATTGTCGACCACCGCCAACATTTGATTATTCTTATTTTTGAGACTATAAATTTTTAGCATTTGTAACACTTATTATTATTATTATTATTATTATTATTATTATTATTATTATTATTATTTTAAGTATTAGATTGTTAAAATAAATTATATTTTATTAATTTTTTTTTGAAATAAAGGCGGATTTGGCAGGTTGGCCTGGACGGTCCTGGAACCCAAAATTTTTTAGAAGGACGGATCCCAAAGCCTGAAAAATTCATTTCGGACCCATCTCGTTGTCAATCCCTAATATTAAATTATTAATTTTTATTATTAAACATCTATCCTACAACAGTCCTTAATAAACATATAATTAACTTAAATCAGTATATTAATATTATTTAATTTACACATATATGTTACTATTATTATTATTATTATTATTATTATTATATGAAACCAAAAACACTGTTATTCTTCGAGTGCAAATTACACTAAGCAAGTTAAGACAGTCGAGGTCACAAGTTCATTTTCGTACCAACTTTGGCCGCTTTTAGTCTCTTTTATTTCGATGATTATCTATTTAATTTAAAAAAAATGTGTTTACTATCTATCTGTTAATATTTAAATAGCAAAATGTATCTATTATTACAAGACGAATGAAGTACAAATAAACAAAGCTCAAGCAATAAGTAAATAGCACTCAGAAGAAGAGTGTTATATATATATCTATATATATATATATTCAAGAAAACATACAATACATATGATCTTGAATTATTATTATTAGATTAAAATGATAAATTTGAGATGGTCACGCAGAGCAGTTGGACCATTTGATGAGTGGTTTAGCAGACTTGACTTTAAGGACAGGATTGTATTCGAAGAAATTTGCAGGCCTCAGCTGGAAGTCGATACTCACTGTGGGCATTATTGGATAGTCTTCTTGCACTGGCACGTGATGAAAACCCATTGTGTACCACACCACTATGTCCTTCTCCTCGATCTCCCTATCCCTACACGTCCACAGATCGAAAATAAATATCTAAAGTAAACCCTCGATCAAACCAAACACCAGTGCTAGTCGAATCATGTGTGATAGTTAAGATAACTGTAACCTCTATAAGAATGTCACATTTTAATTAAATCCATTAGAATATTGACGAGTAAGATACAATACATGTCAGAAAAATTGAAAAAAATATCTAAAGTAGACCTTCGATCAAATCTAATAGCACTAGTCGAATAATGTGTAGTAGATAAGAGCACTGTAACTTCTATAAGAATGTTGCATTTTAACTAAACTTATTAGAATATTGACGAGTAAGATACAATACGTGTCAACAAATTAAAAAAAAATATCTAAAGTAAATCTCCGATCAAACCTAATAACATTAGTTGAATCATGTATGGCAGATAAAAATACTGTAACCTCTATAAGAAGTCACATTTTTATTAAGCCTATTAGAATGTTGACTAAATAAGATATCTAAATTAAACCTCTGATTGAACCTAACAACAAAACTAGTTGAATCATGTGTGGCAGATAAGAGCACGTATTTATTATAAACTATATATATATATGTATCAAAATGTAATAACTTTTGTTAGCTGATGTGGATTTGACGTTGAATTAAAACTACGATTGCGACACTAAGTAAGATGCATTTACATATATGTACATATGTGTACCTTAGGGTCCATTGGGCCAAAGTATCGGTTCCATGACCTTGTTCGACAAATGCACCTCCGGCCCATTTTTGCGCCTTGCTATATGGTGTTGTCCACAAGTTATAGTTACTAAACGCGCCGCGGATTTGTTGGTGATCATATTTCCACAACAAGGGCCCGACTATGGGCCCGGGCACCAAGTGGTAGCCGATATCGTTACCTATTTTGGTCTTCTTGTTAGGGTTTATCACTATGATCTCAGTCGCCCCCGAGGCTAGTTGAACCTTGCCTTCCGACTCTGTCTTAGCCACTTCTTTATTAACCTTCCAGTAACTCTTTCTTGGCGAGGTCTCGTCCACCACGCGCACCGTTTGAAGCTCATTTTTCACGAGCGAATTGGCCACACCGTCTATGTCTAGGTCGAGATAAAATGTGAGGAAATGGTCGTGGCGTGCCCCGATCAAATTTTGCGCCACCAGTGTACCTATGATGATGATTTTTTTTTTTTTTGAATGAGGGAGTTAGGATTTGTTCTTTTTCGATTTTTTTTTTTTCGACGTAGAATGTAATGTTAGGATTATCGATAATATTCGCGCACCATATACTTCATCTTCTATTTGATCCTTGTGAGTATACACCGATGCTTTCGCCCCGAGCATTCCTGATAAACTAGTCTACAAGGGAAACTTGCATTATTTATCAGAAAAACTTATCTCGATATACTACAAATCCATTTTATATCACATCATACAACTTTTCAAATTCAACTTTTTAGCATTCAAATATCCAAAGCCACAAAGAAACACACCCATAGAGATTTAAGTTCTTAAAAAATTTTAGAAACATTTATTGAGTATTTTGTGTGATGTATTTTACTTTTTTAAAAAATTAATATTGATGAATACTGTCAAAACTTCTACAAATATGTATAAATAGAAATATCTTTAATTCCATAATTGATTTATATTATCATTTTAATTTCATTAAATATAAGATATTTGGACTCCCCATTCATATGAGAGGTTTGTAAGTTTTGGAATTTAAAAGAAAAATTGAAAATAATAAAGTTAAAGTATTTGGTGTTATCTATTTTTATAAAATTATTATTGATAAATATTATAAACCATTTCATGAACTTTATGATTTTGTTGCTGTAGTAAAGAAAAAATTATCACTGATAATTATAATTTTCTCACTGCATATAATTAAATAAAAACTATTTTATTTTTATTAGAATGACTGAATATTATTGATTTATTTGAAACTTATTATATCTAAAACTTATTTCTCATTCACATCTAAATATTATATCTAATATTTATTATTTTAAAACACGTTATTGTGAAAACTTATTTTTCCCATTCATATCTAAATAGTATATATGTTTTCATTAGAAATGTTCAAACTCGCAATTCAAAAGATCGAAAAACACAAACAAACACTCATCATTTTCCCAAATTATTAATTTAAATAAATATGTTGTGTGTTTGTGAAGAATTAAATCTTACTGTGACTTTGATGGCACCACTCTGCTTGAATTCCCAGTCAATAATGTAGTCGTAATTAGCCACAGTGGATACCATTCTTACAACAAGTGTAATATCTGGTCTGACCTCCTACAACAACACATTAGCCATAACAAATACATAAATTAGTCCCACAATTCTTGTCCTAAACACGTCCAACATTACAAAAAAAAAAATAGTATATTTGTAATATAATTCCGTGTCAAAAGTTCACGTAGCTAACTAAAGAAATTCCATCCCTGATTTCGTCTATAATATTATTAGTAACAAAAAATATGAATTTAGGAACGAAAAAACTTTTTTACAAAAATAATACTATTTTCTTATAGTGGAATGTGTTTCTTTAGGGTGTAAATTTGAATTTCACTCTAATAAATATTAAATTTTGAATTAAAATAATATTTACTGTGACGATTCGAATGAAATATTTAATTTGATCATGATGAATATAGTGCGAGACCAAAACCAGACGACTTTTGAGCTGAAGTTAACTCACCGTTAGTTCTTCCGGAAGCTGAGATTCACTGTGGCGCCACATTATATCTCCGGCATATCGTTCAAATATACAAAGAACATTCGGTGTTTTTGCAATAGTTCCATCTCGCGTGGTGTAATAACCGTCAATGAAAACAGCATTCTTGGGACAATCTGTTAAGGGTTGGAGTGGCATTGCCGCAATGCCGAAACCAAACTCCCCGGCGTCAAGGAATGTTCGAAAGTACCACTCCTCAGACATGTCTTGGTACGGCACAAACATTTCCGATACATATCCTCTATACAAAACACTACGGTACTTATCCTTCTCATGATCGTAGATCGACACCAACGATATCACGGGACCGACCCTCATGTCGAAAGCTATATGGAAATCCCAATTAGCCCACCTAGTTGTAAACCAAAAAAACACTTTTAAGTTTCCAAAAATATAAATACACACCACAAACATCTACGATAACTTAAACTTTTAGATGAAATGAACGAAGAAAGTCAATAACTTACCCCCAACCCCCAACCCCCAACCCCTAAATTTTTTTTTTTTTTTTTGTGTAAAATATAAAAAAATTATATGATTATGTTAAATTTTCCCTCTCACCCAATTTTAAGTCGATCATTCTATTTTGTCCCATATATATATTTTTTAACATGTTGCTAATGAGTCAAAGAAAATAGAAGAAAAGTTGTCTAATTGGTAAAAATAAATCAGCATTCCCCTCCCCCAGATCGAAAGTTGATTCCGTCACTAGGTACAAGTCGAGTAAATTTTGGTAAAGTTAGGAATCAAAATAGGACCACTCGGTTACCATCAAGCATGACAAATATCTATAGTAGCTTAAACTTTTAGATGAAATAGTTCAGTCGAGTATTTTTCTTTTTTAAAAAAACTATCAATCAAAATATTATTACCTCACTCGGTTACCATCGAGCGCGAAGCTAGGTCCATCGGGTTGGGATATTGTCATACCCTTAACCCGAGTATCGAAAGGAGGGTTTTGTTCGGACTCCCTATAGTCGGTGCCCTTCGCATTCGGGATAGGAACCACGGCGCGATCACGATAATCCACGATCTTCATTTTATCAAGATCGGCAATGGCCATGATGCCCTCTATAGGCCTCATGTAGAAGTTTACGGCACCATCGACGTAATAGCACAGGACACTAACCTTCCTTGTATCACTCTTCTCTCCATACCATCCCATGGTGAAAACCTCACACAAAACTTCACTCAAATTTAACCCTCTTTTCGCAATCGATGCTTGGAATGGCGCGTACTTATGCGGCAACTTACTAGCGATGGTTTGCTCCTCGTTGTTGAGCATTGGGAAGCCATTTCCGGTGTAAACTTCATCGGATAAAATTGAGTTTTTCGACAAATCTACGATGATTTCATGGCTCTTGGACTTGGCGCGCACGACCACATAGGCTTTACGATTGCTCGGCGCCGAGTTTTTCGAGTGAGTTTGGGACATCCATGTAAGGATCTCTTGTTTGTTTGGCTCTTCCAATCCTACATAGTGAAAAGTTGCATTTTTGTGGGATTTTTTCACTAGGGTTTGGACTTGATTTAGTTCAAATGGGGTGAGAGGATCAAGTGGATGATTGGATCCATGAATTTTGACAAGAAATAACAAGAAAGTGAAGAATAATGTAGCAAAGGTTTTAGGGAATTTCATTATTAGTGTAGTCATTGTGTTTCCAAACATTTGCCATCTTATATAGATGTGAGAATATAATTTAGGCTATTTTTTGTTATGTTGTTTTTGTTATTGTGTTTTTTGAAATTTTTATATTATACAGTCTTACAATTTCTTATAAATTATTATGTTTCTAACTATTATTAAATACAAATACACCATTTATAATATGATGTTTAATTCAGGGAAGAAACAAGGATTTATATACACATTGTTGTAAATTCCGATACTATTTATTTAATAGTAATTTTCTTAAAAAATATTATATCAAATATTTATTTTATCACACAAAATATTTATCTTTTTACTATTATTATTTTTTTTTTCCCGAAACTTTTATATGAAGGGGAGTGTATTTAAGCTTGATTTTAAAATAAAAGAAAATATAATAATAATTGGCTGACCAAAAAAACCCCCATTTTAAGTTAAAATTCAGGAGAAATTATGGCTCATATTTACTTACATTAAAATTAACACGAGGTCTTATACTATTGTATTTAAGTAGGAGAAGGATTTTTAGCGTGAGGTTATGCTGAATTTTAAAATAATGCATTGTATATATATATATATATATATATATGACAGACCCTACGATATTATTATCATCACTACATGACAATTTTTTATGTTTTTGAGTTATTTTGATAAATAAATAAAATTAAATAAACATATGTTTGAATATAACTTTTCTAATGAAAAATAGATATTAGATATAATATTTTCAATAAAAGACAAACCCTAATCGAATGATTAAAATTTACAATTTTGTGACTTACATAACTAAAATATGAATGTGCATAATAACAAGACAAATTGATAATTAAGTATATAGATATAAAATAAAACTTATGTTTACTTGAAGTAATTCGTTTCAGTTTATTATTTTATCTTGTAAAACATTACATATAAACTATTATTCATCTCAAAATCCAAAACTAAACTCCACGTAAACAAAACAATATAATTTCCTCGAGTTTTCTATTACAATAATTGCATTCGATATGATTAATGCAACGATAAATGTAGGCTTGAACGAACATATAGCAAGAAAAGTCGCGGGTGAATCCAACTTATCACTATAAAAAAAAATAGTATATTTGTAACAGAATTTTGTCCTTAAAATTCACATAGCTGACGTAATACCATCCTCAATTCTGTCTATAATTTTATTAGTAACGAAAAAAGTAGATTTAGGAACAAAAAAAAACTTCGTTACAAAAATGATGCCAAACTCACTACCCCCACCATATCTAATTCATATATGGTTTTTTAATTTCTCGACATGTGTGGTTGGATCGATGAATGGGAGCGGATAAAGGCGCTGAATTGAAACATATGTCAATTTATTTCTCAATACCAAAATTCTAAATTAAATAATAAGTTGTTATCAACTCATTTCCCATCTCACAAATATACTATATTTATCTTCTAAAAGGTCATTGAATTAAAACACATGTCACAATTTTTATTATTATTATTATTTTCTCAACGCCAAAATATCTAAATTAAATGAGAAGTTCTTATCGACTCATTTCCCATCTCAAATACATACTTTATTCATCTTCTATACACATGTGCGCTAAAATTAGAGTTGATTTTCCATGTACGTCGTTGTATTATGAGTTAAAAGTACCGTAGGGACAAGGATGTAGAAATAACAATAAGAGTGGAGATGAATAATTGAATGAAATGCGCATAAAATGATGTCGAACGTTTGTCCAAGTATTGAATTGTCGTCGAATATATTTTTGGTCCAACATTTGTATTTCATGCTAACACATTGTTCGAAAGAAATTGTTGCCATTTACCAAAAGCAATGAGTAGAAAATGTTGATTTGTTTCATGTGTTGTTTGTTATCGAATTATTTAAGGGGTTTCTTCATTTGGATTTTAATCTTTTTTTTTTTCTTTCATTTATTTTCTCCAATATTGCTTTGTTAGATTGATCACGGGTTTTATATATATATATATGTGCCTTTAGAAGTGACTGTACAAAAGAGTGAAGGATGCTCACTCAAAACCCATTATTAAAAAAAAAATAAAATTAGTTCATATTTTATTTGTATGGATATAATACCGTTCTATATTTTTTCAATATTTTTAATATGCAATCTTCTCGACTTTTTTTTTTTTTTTTTTTTTTTTAAATATTTAGAAAATCATAAAGTAAATGCACTCAACAAATATATAATAATAGGCTGCAAATTCTGTGTTGTGCTGATTTAACCGGATTATCATATACGATATGAGTGGCCAACATATATTTATATATATATCTCAACTTATTGTGGGTTAAGATAATATATGTTGAGTTATAATATAATATAATATTGTATTATAAATATATTGAAATATATAATGGTCATTCTATTGCATGCGATTAAATCAGCACTATGTTGACTTGGGCGGACAGCAGTTGATTCACGCCGATAATAATGTATGCTTTAACTAAAATATTTACATTTATTAAAGTGCACTATAAAATAAATGAAAGAAAATGATAATAAATAATAATAATAATAATAATAATAATAATAATAACAAAAGCCAATATAAATATATATCTTTAAACTGGGTATGTAATGAGTATATATCCCTCAAGGCTCAAACTGTGGTTGAATTTGTATTATTTTCATTCCTTATTTATATTATTTATTTACAATAATTTAGTTTTTTTTTTATTAAAACATTATAATGTATATTTATTTTTCATTGAATCTAATATATAATTTTTAAATTTAAAATATTATACAAATACTTATTTACATTAAATAATTACTACCATTAAATATTTTTACTTCTAAATACATCGAAATATTGTCCAAATATAACCAAACAAATAGAAAATAATTTTTTTTTTTTATATATATATCTATTATTGTCCACAAATTACAGCTGTTTGGGTTTGATATTAACCGGAGAAAATATTATTTTTTATTTCTAGATAGGGACATTTTGTTGGGATTAATTTTGTTGACTAATTGATTTGTTCTTTTAACATCAATTTTTGATTTGGTGTTCCACACAAGATCTTAACATCATAATGGATTTTTATTCCACTGTGACAAGATTTTACACCAATGATTTATTTTTTTTACATACATTTATTTTTAGAATTTTTGATATTGTCTATTAATAATATTTAAAATAGATATATTAAATTAAATATATATTTTTTTTCTTGCAAAATATTATTCTCTCTTTACTTTCAATGTATTCAGATTGTTATTTTATTCTATTAACTCTTAAGGTGCATTTGTTTGGAGTTTGGATTTGATTTTGGATTTAAAACAGTAAAATTTTTGAATTGGAAAATTATATGATATGATATAAATAAGTGTTGATGTGATATTTTTAATGTAAAATTAATTTTTAGTGTAATAAAAAATAGAAATTGGTATTTGATTTTATACTATTTTTTAGGGAAAAAATTTGATGAATAATATAACTTTTTGTAAAATGTGTTAAATGAACACACCCTTAATATATTTGTTTTATTTACTTAGTAAATTAACTTCTATTCTATTGCACTATTACTAATAAAATATTAATATACTAAAATTTACGATAAAAAAATAAATGATTATATTTAGGTGACATGATATTTAAGAAAATATAGTTTAATAAATTAATGATAGTAAATTATGATATTATTATTTCACTAAAATATATACAATATAAATATTTTATTTTGTAAAAAAAAAAATTAAATATTTATCTATTTATGATTAATATAAACTAACTTTATAAAAATATAAAAATTTTAAAAATATTTATTTATTTAATATTGATAAATTTATTAAAAATAGAAACGGTCTCAATTGTTATAGAACTAAGTTAAAATGAAAAATATGTCAAACTATGATTAAACAAAAGGAATACTAAACTTTTTATTTTTATTTTTAAATTTCGAATATTTAAAAATCTAGATGAACATCATGTGAATATATTACTAATATACATAGTACAAGTGTTTTGGTCCACACTCAATAATTGCATTACAATTCAAAATTTCCGACAACTACACATGTATTGGAAAATTCACAATGATAAATAAAAATAAAAATAAAAATAGACAATTTTATACTTATTATTTCTTTGATCGGATTATTAATACTATTATTGTTACATTGTTGCAATCATTTGGGTGTATTTTGGGTAAAATAAATTAATTTTAGTAAAAAAATTATATTAAAATTATTAGGAAAAATTATTTTTTTTATTACAGTAACTGGACCCTTTATTATTTTAGTTCCGTAAGTGGAGCTTGTCGCAAACTAGTCCAATAAGTGGAAAATTTTCGCTGTTTTAGTCCAACTAGCCACGCGGGCGTCTCCAGCGCCAGAGGACTAAAACAACGAAAATTTTCCACTTATTAGACACCTGGCGGACACTTAGATTTTATTTTATTTTTTAATTTTTTTTTAAAATTGAACCAAATAAAAAAAATTAAAAAAGCAAATAAACTTAAAAATAAATTTTTAAAAAATTTTAAAAAATAAAAATAAAATAAAATAAAATCCACGTGTCCGCCAGGTCAGCGGCCTCCGACGAGTCGCGCGAGCGTTTCCAGCGCCAAAGGACTAAAGCAACGAAAACTTTTCACTTATAGGACTAGTTTGCGATAGACTCCACTTACGAGACTAAAATGATAAGAGTCGGGACTAAAAAAACAGTTTATCTAAATCACTATTAAAAAAATTAACATTATATTAAAATTAATTGAAATCGGTACGTAACAGAGTATGTTTGGGCCGGAATTCATTTTGTGTACCATCAATTGGGTATAATATTTATGAGAAAGACAGATAAAGTAGGCTTCACTTTGAAAATATATTTAAAAAATGGATAAAATAATAAAAAAAGGGTTATGTCGAAATAAGAAAATAATTAATTTTAGTCTCAATATAAAAAATTTATTATTATTATTTTTAATCACATTATAAACAAATTTAATAGCTTTTGATCTCTCCATTAAAAATCTAATAAAAAATACAAATGTAAACATAATAAGTCTGAAGAAAATCTGATCTGAATCGATCACGACTATATAAAAAAATTGAACTGTTGCGATGGCTTTAGCGTCAAATTGGGCGGCACAAACTATTTGGGCCAGCGGCATCAAGGGCGCACACTATCCTAGCATTCCGTAGATCTTCTATATCCGCAGAAGACTAGTTGCCGAATGTCGCTCTGCTAGAACGCGGTTGTTAATGAAACACTTCATGTACATCACCGGATGGTTTGTGTAAAGGGAGACAGTCAAGCTTCATAAGATCTTTCTGCCCGGTGCAGGCAATCCGCATTTGCTGCCGTTACTCTTCAGTTTTCTATTGGGAGGGGATAGGCCCTGACCGCGTGCCTGTCGAAGAATGAGCCGGTGAAGATATTCGAATTCTATACAACTTATTCTCTTCTCAAAAAGCTACAGAAGACTTCTCTGTCCTCTACAGACAGCTATTTTTTTTTGTATCGATCGAATTGCAGATGTTTTTAGTTTTAATTTGTCACAATTTGATTGATAGATTGATGAATTGATTTCGATTAGGCGAGAGACTCAAGGGGGGTAGAAGCCTAGCGGCGACATTATGCTCGCCGAGCCGTTGATTACACAACTATGTTTTTACTAAATATGATTGTGTTCGATCTAGATAAAGTTTACTTTAGACCCGTCTACGTCAGTATTTTTTTGTTAGATTTTGAATGAAAGGTTCAAAAGTAATTAAATTTGTTTATAATAAGATAAAATTTGATGAATTTTCATATTGAAATCAATATGAATAATTTTTATTTCAATGGCAATTTTTTTTTTTCTCTAAAGAAATGTTCCTTCCGATCACTTAGTAAGTACGTAGTATCTATTTAGTTCTTTTAGTATGTATGAATTCAACTATACATTAAAAATACACTCACATTTATACTTATTTATATAAATAATTTCATATCAATTTTAGTCATTATAGGGATATAATATTCTTTAAGTATCAAACCTATCACCAACTATCATTATAATATACATATTTATTAAACTGCGTACAAAAAATAAATATTTATTTTTTAAGTGAATGAAATGAATATATGAAAAAATAAATTTAGACATTACAATAATATTAGTTAGTGTGAAAGTTATCATTTTTCATCAAACATATGTTTACTTTTTATTTTAAGTTGTTCAAAAAATTTATATTAATACAATAAACAACATTAACTTTTTTTTCATCAATTTGGGGGTTTGTTCTTTTATCACTTCAAATTCAAATAATACTATTCATTTTACATCATTTTCGATAAAAATATATTATTTTTAAGAGTATTGTGTTATTATTGTTAGCATCTATGATTTACTTTTCCTTCACGTAATGTAATATAAGGATAAAAGGTCTTGTTTACCCTAAAAATAATTTAATTAAATAATAATAATGATATTTTTGTAATAATATACAAATAAAACTTTTTGTGGGAAATAAAATTGTTAAAAAGGGAACAAATAGATTAATTTTGAAGGAATTAAAATAAAAAAATAGATAATAAATTCGTGACAGAATTATCTACTCAGGTGTAAGTGGAGGTATGAGAAACTTACACACATCGCACCTAAAAACAGAACTCATCATTAATTCATTTATCCGAGAGCTCCCAACAAAGATAAATGTACAATTTTATATCTATGAATATTTTATAATATAATTAATATATTTTGATTATATTGCGGTAGTAAGTAAAATGTAGGAGTAATATTTTTTTAATATATACGAAAACCTAATTACTCGAAAAAAAAAATATATATATATTGATTTTAAACGGATTAAAATGAAAAAATAAATAAAATTAAATTCGTAAAGATTATTATTATTACTCCTTCCGTTTCAATATAATAGTCTTGTTTACCATTTTTGTCCATTCTAAAAAAATAGTCTTATTTTCATAAATATCAATATCACCGTAAAACTACCCCTATTTTTTTTATTACATAATTGTCACTACTTTTTACACTAATATACTCACAAGGGCAAAAAAGTTTTTTATCCATACTTTTTACCAACTACCAATATAATATCAATATTCCTTAAATTCCGTATCCAACCCAATTAAGACTATATTTATGGGACAGAGGAAATATTATTTATTATTATTATCATTATTATTTAATATGCTAATCAATTAATTGTACGGAATACCTACCAAAAATAGGGTGAATCCCTTCACTAATAGTAGCCTATAGTACAGAATTATACCCATAAAAGTCTCCAATAATTGAATTTAATTAATTTCAACAGCTTGCTTAATAATTTTGTGCACAACATATATATATATATATATATTTCATTATTCTCTATCCATCCCATTGCAAGATTGTCGTCTAACTTTTGCACGTAAATTTTTGAATATTAGTATTATATTGGATTATAGTAAAAAAGACAAAAATATTTCTGTTAGTATTGTGCAATATAAAAGTAATGACATTTATGTAATATATTGTAAGTTGGAAGGGTATTTATTATGTTAAGTAAGTAATACAATTACTAAATTAGGAAATTGTAATATTTTTTTGAGAGAAACGAAAATAGAAAATGGTAACTTTTCAATGAGACGGAGAGAGAGTATATGATTCTATTATTGTTTTTTATTTTAAATTTTCTTATTGAATAAATGGAGGTACATAATAATAATGAAGTCATAAATCCAAAGATCAATAAATGTTATGAAATAATTCTTTTTTTATAAGTTCAAATATTAATTATATCATCATCATATATAATGAACAGTTTGCAATAACCCTATAGCTACGAGGACAAACCCTAATTATATTTTTGAAACTATTTTTAGTTCTTTTAAGAAGTTGTCTCTTTTATTTAGTGTTTAATTTTCTTGCAATTACATTCCAATAATGTCCATCCTACTCTATTTATAATTGTACCAATATTTTTTTTTTTGGCAAATAATTTTATGCTTGAAAATTAGTTACTATTGAGATAACATTTAGGGGTTTTTTAATTTTACTTTTTAGTTTGAGTTTTGATTTAAATAATATTTTGAATTGATATTTTGTGAAAAATAATAAATATTTATTAGAAATTGTGTGAATTGAGTAATTATATATATTTTTAATTTAAATTAAAAAAATTACAAATCTTAATAGTGAGGTTTTTTAATTATATAATATTATTTAGCTAAGTTGCAGTGATGGGTAAATTTGTAATTGTGATAAATTTATTTAATACATATTCCAAGAGTTATAAAATAATAAGAATAATTGGAAGGAATATTTTATAAAGAAAAAAAATGCTCCATCCGTCTCACCTATGTCCACATTGCCGTTTTTGTTCGTTCACATCTCATGTCATTTTGATTTTTTTAAAAATGATTATACACTTTAATTTAATTTTAAATATTATAATTTATTTTTTTTATTTTAATTAAACTAATTAAGTATTTTAATCTTAATTTATAATTATTTATATTATAGAATAATATATTCTTAATTATATACTAATTATAGTTATTATAAATTCTCGTGTTTACAGTAATCCGGACATACAATGTGAGACGGAGGGAATATATTCTTACGAGAAATAATAAGAATTGAATTATATAAAAAAAAAATATTTCTTTTCATAATTTTTTTTTTTAAAAATATGTATATGAATTATATCATTTATAGTTTATAAGTGGAGAGATTTGTTTTGTTTTGTTTTGTTTTTTTTTTTTTTTTCTTTTATCTTATTTAATTTGCCCACTACTTAAATATTATTTCGAAAAAATAATATTCTTTCTATGCTAATTTTAAGTTTAGCACAATGTATTAATTTCTATAATTTTAATTAGTTTTTTTTTAAAAAAAAATATTTTATAAATTATATTTAGAATGATAAAAAGAAAACATGACATACTTTCTAGAGCACACATTTTAAATGTTTAGCACACACATACTCATATAAAATACATCATAATATAAAATATACATTTTAAATATGAACATATAACGCATATTCTTATTTTGCACTTTTTATTTGTACTGTTCGAATAAATCGATGCTGATTTCTCTTAATCAATATAGTAACCCAAGAATATATATTCTATTTTGAGATACTCGTGGCTATTTGTATAGGCATTATTATAATTCAAAACATTTATTACAATTTCCTCTTTATATAGTCTTGCAAAAATTATTTCTTGCATATATATACAAATTCTTAGTTGTTTCTTTCCAACAAATTTCCAAACCCTAATTCTCTCTTGTTCTTTCTTCCATCATGGAGTCTTCAAATTATGACATCTCCTTGTCTTCGAGTCCTCGATTTTCGTTTTCTTCCAACATGCTTATTCCCAAAAATTTTAGAACAAGTAGTCTCGACTCCCTTCTTGACGAAGGGATAGCCGCCAAAATAACCACCAAGCCCAATGGCAACGATGAATTCGAATTTCACTCAGGAAAATTTACTGACATGGCAACTGCGGATAAATTATTCTCCAAAGGTAAAATACTTCCCTCTTATAATCTGACGCACCCTGTCCAAAAAATCGAGAATATTTCAATTAAACCAGAAAGGAAACTACCTCCGCCGCCGCCCTTCTTACAACCTAGGCGTATCGATAATGACAACAATACTAGAATAAATTGGATAGTTTTTGAGGATGATCCGTCCCCTAGACCACCTAAATGTTCGATTTTATTGAAGGAGTTGTTCAAATTGGGCAAACGGCCTTCGCATTTAAAACAAGCATTTTCGTCCTCTTCTTCTTCTTCTTCATCTTTCTCGTCATCTGGAGGATCGTCTTCTTCATCGTTTAGGGGAAGATCGACGGCTGAGATTTCATCATCAAGGGATTGTAGAGAAAGAAGTATGAGATACAAAGAGAAAAATGTAAGAGATTCAAAGAAGAGTGAGAGATTAAATTGTTCTAACATAAGGATAATGCCTGTGGGCAATGTGCCTATTAATGTACCCCATAGGAAGATCAATCCCTTCCCATTACATTAATATATCGATTAAGGTATCCTTTTTAATTTGAAATTTATGTTGGAATAATTCTTGTGTTTACTAGGGAGTTTTGCAATAAAATGTCGGGGCGTGTGTTTATTTTGTATTTTTAGATGAATATATTTTTTATATTATATATGATGAATTATGTTGGTAATAAATAATAATATTTTATGTTAAATTGTTAATTATTTTAGTAGATAAAACATACTACCCCGTCCTATAAGAAGAGTTTTACATGTTGATATTTAAATATTAATTATTATATCAATAGATAGTCAAAATAAAAGAAAATGACAAAAATACAAATACAATGAAATTTGTGGAGTAAATTATACAAATATAAAAATATTTTCAAACTTTAGGTACGATGACTCAAAACACAAATATTGCTCATTTTATAGGAGATGGTAGTATTATATATATATATTGTATTAATGTGGATATATTGTATTTTTTATAATATTTATATTACATCCCAACACACAACGTGAAGAAGTGTTCCTTTGGTAAATTTTACAAGATTTTTATTATTTATTAATTTATTTTTCTAAAGAAATATCCTCTTCGTACCAAACATCTTACAATATTTTTTTTTCTTGTTTGTATTAAACTCACTGTAATATTTCTAAATTTATAAATAATTACTAATATTTATATACATATATTGATATATATTTCACTTTATCTCATCACATCACTCAAATAAAAAAAACAAATAATTATTTCTCTCTCCAATCACATAACTTAATATCCAAATTATCTCAAATTACCATACTTAATACTCTTTCCTAAATTTCCGTGCCAAACACAAATATTGCAGGGTGTTTGAGACGAATTATCAAATTACAGACGTAGATAGACTGAGTATATACAAATTTTATACAATACTAGTGTATATATATATATATATATAAACTCATTGTAACTTTTTTTCTAGTTTTTTTTTTTTTTTGCTATTTTTTATTTATATTATTTGGAAAATACATTATATATTGTTTTATTTATACAAAACAATTAAAAGATTATTAAAATTATTGCAGCAGAAAGCAACTAACAATTAAAATAAGACTGAAATAGCATTAATTGCAGCGCCGGATAAAATCAGCTATCCAGGCAATGAGTTTTCCGGCCTTCTCCGTCGCCGGATTATCCACCTGAAAGCAGTGTTCTTCTCCGGCGACATTTTCGACCTCCACCTCCCCTTCCCACCCGCTCTCCCTCACCTCCGCCGCGTACGCCACCGCCCTCCCGGCCAGCACGTCCTTCTCCGCCACGCACACCGCCAATCTCCGGCAACCCAGCCCGGCCAGCCTCCGCGACCCGCCGCCCACCGGATTTATCATCGGGCAGTCGATCCCTCCCTCCGCCGCCGGAAAAACGAATTTCCAAAGTCTGTAGCAGAAGCTCCGATCGACGTTCTCCCGCGGCTCCGTTCCGATGGGATTCGAACCCCAGAAGAAAGGATGACAGAGAATTGCTCCCGCGATTTTGACGGATCCGGGTAGGGGCTCCGACCCGGCCCGAATCAATAAATTGTGGGCGATGTTCCCACCGGCGCTGTCGCCGCCGACGAAGAGACGGGTGAGATCGCCGTGGCCGGCGATCCAGGGGTGGTTGTTGCCGGCGGCGATCCAGGTGAGGGCGGCCCAGGCGTCGTCGTAAGCCGCCGGGAGGGGGTGCTCCGGCGCGAGGCGGTACTCGACGGAGACGACGACGGCGGTGGCGGCGGCGGAGAGGGTGGTGGTGTAGCGGTGGTGGAGGAAGGAGAAGGCGGATTCGACGCAGAATCCGCCGCCGTGGAAGTAGAGGAGGATGGGGAGTTTCTCCGGCGGCGGCGGAGAAGTGAGTTTGGGGAGGTGGAGGCGGACGGCGGGGGTTACGGCGGTGGCGGCGACGTCAGTGGTGGCGACGCCGGTGGCGGGGTCCTCCTGCGACGGCGGGACGTGACGGGAGCCCATGAGGCGTTCGATTGTTCCGTCGGTGTAGCGCCTGATGACCGGAGATAGATCAGTGTCGATTTCTTTGACGGCAGCGGCGGCGGCGGCCATTTTCGGTGGATCAGTGAGGTTTCTGTAAGTTTTATTATTTACACACTGCATTAGTTCAATGTTATCACTGAATTTTAAATAATAGTAGTAATAATAATAATAAAAAAAAGAATTATATATAATAATTGTAACAATTGGACAATATTTTAGGGTATGTTTAGTTGTCCTTGTCATTCATTTTTTCAAAAAAGATACAATAAATAAAATTATCTATATATATATTATAAGGATAATAGTATTGTAAATATTGAAATGCCTTGGTATTTCATTATCGAGTTTATTTTTTTGATATAGTTAATTATAATGATAAAAGTACGTACTAAAAAGAGTAAGAACGACGTCATAAAAAAAACAATACTCCATCCGTCGTTCAAATATATGTTCATTTTTTTTTTGAATTGTCATTAGAAATTATTATATTTTTGTATTTTTTTTACTAAAAAAATAATTATTATTACTCACTTTTATAAATGAGCACACACATTTGGACGACGGAATGACGAATAAATAATGGACACGAGACTAAAGGTGACAATGAAATATTTAACAGTGATAACAAAAAAAAGAAAAAGAAAATGCAATTTCTTACCAACAAACTTTTGTTTGTCTACTCTTTGTCCTATTATATGACAAAAGATGCACCTAGAACCATCTATAATGTTCTTACTGTATACATACAATATGTATATATATAGAGAGAGACAGGGGGGTATTGTTTATAAACAAAACAAATCTTTTTTTTAACATTTCGAGAAAGTATTTTCTTATTAGCATAGATCAATGAGATACTTTAAAATTTTTGATATTATTTATTGATAGTAAAATTTTAAAAAATATTATATTAAATATTTATTTAATTTCAAAACTCGAAAAATCCCTATTTAAATGAAGCAGGATAATTATGTGGTTGAAATAATTCCAATCTTTACTGCATAATTAATTGTGTGGGCTATTTCCAAAAGCCCAAATATATGATGGGCTATTATATTTTTCTGACGGCCCAATATCAAATTTCCAATAATAAATGGGTTATTTGCAATTAAGCCCACTTGGTTCTTTATAATTGTACTGGGCCTTTGTGGCTAATTCAAAATTCAAATTCACCGTAAAAGTTGCTTTATTTTCATTTTCCCCCCAATTCCTTTTCTGTCGACAATTCCAAGATTCTGTGAGACGTGCGGTGTTGTTGCAGAGAAACATTCGAAATTCGAACAGCCGGAAACCTACCGTTCACCGCCGGAAAATCCCAAATCCTCAAGAAATTGGTAATTACATTTCCTCATTTACGCCTATCTATGTAGTCACGCCTTTGTTTTCGCCGATTTTATTGAACCGCCGGCCAATTTTAGGGTTCTTGAGTTTCTTTTTCCAAGCTTCGTTTGCGCAAGTGGAATCGTCGTTCTTGGGAAATTATTTGCTGGTTTTGCTGCGTTAGATCATTTGAGGTGTTATTTGTTGCTTTCTTTTCAAGTATTAATTGCACTGTTTCATGCTCCATTTCGGTTTTTTTTTTTTTCGAATCTATTAGGTTTGTCCAAGGGAGACGGTATGATTGAATACTGAAAACGTAAATTCAATTGATTTTTTTACTAGACAAAATAGCAATTTTAGGATAATGGAAGTTTTGGTGCTATTAGATTATTGAGTGTTGTCATACCTTCATTTGAATTGCATAAACAGCCAAGAACACTTATTCTAATGAGCAAATTGAAATTTTGTTTGGGTGTAGCAGTGTTCATATATGTTTGATCTTTAAATTTGAATTTTCCTTTTTCATGTCATTAGACCATTTGAGGTTAGATAAAATATCTTCTAATTACTATGCAGAGCTTTGTTGCTATCTGAGATTTCGGTATCAAACAAGGCTCTTTTCGACTTCCCTAAATCCAAGTACCGAAAGAATTTCTGGAAAATAAGCTTTCACTACAAAATTAATTATGTGGTTGTTTTGATGTAGTTTCTAGGGTGATTTTGTTTTAGTTTTCCATCAATTTATCAAGTCATGAATTTACATTTATGATGTTTTCTGTTGTTGGATTTCTGAAAAATCTCAGTTGTAAGTGCAGTTTGGATTTTAGAACTAGTTTGTTACCGTTCTTACAAGAAATGCTCCCTCTCTAATTTTGTTGGATTAGCTAATCGTCCCAGCTATTTTCCATATGCAATGTTAGTGACGATTTTGTAGTTATCTTTATCCTACTTGTTAATGGATTATCTGTTCCGAAAGCTTTGTTGTTTATACTAATGTGCTGTTCATGCTATGATTGTAATGTTTACAGGTTTTTGATTTGATTGCAATGGATGGAAAAATGGAAAATGGAGAATCCCGGTACAGCTCCATCAAACTCTGGCCACCAAGCGACAACACACGTCAAATGCTAGTCGAGCGAATGACCAAAAATCTGTCAACTCCAACAATTTTCACCAGCAAGTACGGCACTCTCAGTAACGCCGAGGCGTCAAAACATGCCAACCAAATTGAGGAATCCGCATTTTCCGCTGCAACTAATCATTATGAACAAGAACCTGAAAGCGACGGTTCTTCTGCTGTGCAATTATACGCTAAGGAATGCAGTAAGCTAATATTGGAAGTTCTCAAGGGAGGCTCGAAATTAGAGCAAACCGAGGGACTAAAATCCGAGATTAACTCTGCTGTTCGAGAAACAGTTTTTGATATTTCTAAAGGTCCGCGGGCTTTCATAGAGGCAGATGAAGCTAAAAAGCTTTTGAATCTCCTGAAGGAGCCGGATAATTCGTTTACTAAAATATGCTTTAGCAATCGAAGCTTTGGATTAGGTGCAGCTGAGGTTGCCGGACCTATTTTATCGTCCATTAAAAACCAGCTTAAGGAAGTGGATCTGTCCGACTTTGTCGCAGGAAGACCAGAGGCGGAAGCTCTCGATGTCATGAAATTTTTTTCCGAAGCTCTCGAAGGTTCGGATTTGAAATATTTGAATATCTCCGACAATGCCTTAGGCGAGAAAGGAGTTCGAGCATTTGGGAAGCTATTGCAGTCGCAAAATAGCTTGGAGGAACTTTATCTGATGAACGACGGGATATCTACAGAAGCTGCGCAAGCTGTTTGTGAGTTGGTTCGTCGCACGGAGAAGCTTAAAGTCCTTCACTTCCACAACAATATGACGGGAGACGAAGGAGCCATTGCGATTTCCGAGATTCTCAAACGTTGTCCGAAGTTGGAGGATTTTCGCTGCTCGTCTACCCGGGTCGGATCTGAAGGAGGCGTTGAATTAAGCGAAGCGCTTCGACAGTGTAAGAATCTGAAGAAACTCGATCTCCGGGATAACATGTTCGGCGCGGATGCTGGCGTAAAGCTGAGTGAGGCGCTCGTTAAATTCGAAAATCTCAAAGAAATTTACCTGAGCTATTTAAATCTCGAAGACGATGGAGCGATAGCGATAGCTAATGCGCTCAAGAACTCGTCGCCATCGCTTGAGGTTTTGGAGATGGCCGGAAACGATATCACGGCCAAAGCTGCTCCTAGCCTCGCCGCTTGCATTTCTAATAAAAAATTTCTTGTGCGATTGAACTTGTCGGAAAATGATTTTAAAGATGACGGCGCAATTGAGATAAGCAAAGCGTTGGTCGAAGAATCTCTTAAGGAAGTCGACATGAGTCAGAATTCCGTAAGGAGGGCCGGGGCGAGGACACTAGCGCAGGCTGTGATTCGGTTGACGGCCCTTTTGAATTTAAACGGAAACTTCATTTCCGAGGAAGGTATTGATGAGTTGAAGGATTTCTTTAAAGGATGTCCCGAGAAACTCGGCCCGTTGGATGATAATGATCCCGATGGAGAAGATTATGACGAGTCGGGGGATGAAGAAGGGGATAGAGATGAAGACAACGACGAGTTGGAAGCTAAAGTCAAGAACCTTGACATCGATCGAGAAGAGTAATGTTATTGATCGAGCAAGATTTTGGTTACGAAATCGTTTTACTTTTGGGAATGATATCGGAATTCTGGCACTAGGTACGCTAAAACTGTCATTTTTGGTACTTGAACTAACCTGAAGTGTGGTTATTTGTGTGTTTGGAATGATTTTAAGTTCTTTTTTTTTTTTTTTGGTGTTTTTGGATGTTTATGTTTTTAATGAAATTTGGTGTTTGATGGCATGGTTTAACTGGAAAATAGATTTTGAATGTAATATTGTTGGTGAGAAAGTATTTCACTGTGAATTTTGTATTGTTTGCTTGACATATTTGTGCTTGCATTATCTGTTAATTTGATTAATTTGGTAAAATTTTGATAGAATTTTTTTATTTTTGAAGAAATATATTAGTTTGATTGAATAAACAATGAAGTGAATTTATGAAAAATAGGTTAAGAACTAAGAAGAAGTTGATATAAACATGATGTGGCGATTAGTTTGATTACGATCAAATCTATGTATAAGGTCTATATTTATTACCAAAGATGACTTTTCTTTTATAAAAAAAAATAAAATTATGAAAATCTGCGGCCGTTATCTTTCGGGTGCACTCTTGGTAAACTTTAATCGAACTTAATAGTTTACAAACTAGATTCAACAAGGCAAGTTACGTTTAATGAATTATATGTGGCAAACAAGACCTAAATATGTTTTGTTGGGTTCTAGTATGGTCTTGAACCATAAAATCACGACCCTCCTTATTGCATCATAGTCGTGAGATTGAATGAAAGATGAACGCTCAAGATTGTAAGGAGCGGTGTATAGATAATTTGTATTATATAATAAATAAGATAATTATAAATTTATGCATAAATTAAGAAAATGCATATATATATATAGATATAATATTTTTTTAAGATAAATTATATAACACTCCATTGTATTTTTAGTAAAAAGGTACAAAATACTCTTTGTTTTATTTATTGTGTGAAATCTCTTTGTGTTAATGTAAAATTTGCACAAAACACCCTCATTGTCCAAAACTGATGTTTTGTTTTAAATAAAAACCTAAATTATGCAAGTTTTATACAAATAAAAAAATAAAATATCTTAAATAACAATTTGTCTCCAAAAACTATAACATGAAAGATTAATTAATTATTTATTTATTTATTTTATTCAAAACAACTATTTAGGATATTTTATATTTTTTATTTATATAAAACTTTCATAATTTAGGTTTTTATTTAGAACCGAACATCAATTTTGAATAAGGAGGGTGATTTGTGAAATTTTACATTAGCACAAGAGGGTTTTACGACAATTACTAAAACACATGGTGTTTAATTTACCCTATTTTTTAATTGTGGTTGTGATTACAAATCCAAGTTGGATTATAAAACAATAATATAATAAAGATAAACTATTTTTTTTTAGTTTGTAACTGACCATTTTAGAACTTTAAGTAATTCATGTTGAAAATAGTTTCATAAGTAATTTTTTTCACTAAAATGTTCCTCCGGTGTTGGACTAACCACGCTGGCATCCATTGCTGACGTGGCGCTGATGCGGATGACATGTCATTACCACGTAGATGCCATGTCGGATGATCATTTTAGCGAAATTTTTTTAATTGCGTGACTATTTTCAAACAGACTTCATTTAAATGTCTTAAAAATGATAAAAAGGAGGTCATATACGAGACTAAAAAATAGTTTATCAAGATATTTCGTAAAATAAAAAATTTCACATGTCGTTGATGTAGCATCTACGTGGCGATGAGTCAGCCACGTCAGCGCCACGTCAGCAACGGTGGCCCAACGTGGCGAGTTTGGCATCGGAGGATCATTTTAGTGAAAAAAATTTATTTACGAGACCATTTTCAAACATAGTCTACTTACAATCCTAAAACGATAAAAGGGTCCGATACAAGAAAAAGAAAAATGTTTACCCTAATAATAAAAATAGAATAGAGAATTATACGTTCTTTGCCGACATCAATCAACCCAAGAAAATATATTCGTGAACTCATACCTGATCAAAGATAAAATTCAAGAAAATCTCTAACATAGTAAGGTTTTTTTTTTTTTTTTTCATTTATTATGAAGGTAACGCAGTGGCGAATTTATTTTACATCATATTTTCTCTTTGAACAAGTTCAAACCCCCGACGTCTCTAGGTCCACGTATCACACATGATTCGCCTAGTGTGATTTGTATTGTCGTATAAATCAAATTCACTTTTATTATTATTATTATAATATACTACCTTTGTTCAGTTCTAAGAGGCTATGTAATACAAATTAAGAAAAAATTGCAAAAATACTTTCATTAATATTTTATAATACTAATAGAATGATATTTGCATAAAAAATTATAAAAATATAAAAATATTTTTAATATTAAGTACGATGACGCAAAACGTAAATGTGACCCTTAGAGGCGGACAAGGAAAGTAAAACAATCATATAGAATAATTATACTGTCAGACGATGGGTAAAGAAAAGTATGGTAAGTATTTAATTACACAATGTTTATATTAAATTGACATTATAATGTCATATTACTTAAAAGCAAATTATAGTACTATAGATAATAATAGTGTTATGATCAGAACATACGTGGAAGATCTACACAATATTACTTTTTTTAAATATGTATGATTTGAAAAGTATCTAATTGCAGATATTTTTAATTTATGTAAAATAATATTAACGAAACAAGGTGATTAATGCGAAAAATAATTTTTAAATTGAGATTAAATTTAATTCATAAGTATATCTTGTATTTTGAAATAAAAAAGTCAAACATACCTATTATAATGAATATTTCGGTGTTGAAAATATTGCATCATATTTTGCATCATATTGTGATTGATTGTATAAATATCATTTAGTTTACCTTTATACATCATAATAGTATTACGATGACAACATATATGGAAAATCTATACATCATTACTTTTTCGAATGTATATTATTTAGAAAGTATATAATTGCAGACAATTCTAATTTGTGTAGATTAATGTTTTTAAATATAACGTATTTAGTTAACATATTTAAATTTTAAAAAAATCATTTAGCATTCAATTACCTTTTTTAATACCTAAAATACTCTCAATTAAAATCAATCGTTGGATTGCCGAAAAAATTGATCAGACGGCTGGAGTGAAATCAGGACGGTCCTGAATATTATAAAGGGTTAGGAGAATACTTAAACCTGTGTTTTGTTTGACGGTTTTGATTTTAAATTTGAATTTTGAATAGTAAAATTTAAATTGATATAATTATTTGATGTGATATAATAAAATATTCATGTAATTATTTGAACGAAAATTAATTTTTGGATATAATATAAACATTAAAAATAGATATTTAATGCGTTCATTTTGTGTTATTGGATGAATATATAATAATTTTAATAACTTGGGACCCACAATTGAGTGTAAGACGTTGGAGATTTAAACTCATTACCTTAACGTCATGAATTTACCTCACATCATGAAGACATTCCTTACAGGAATGTATTTTTTATTTTTTATTTTTAATGTTAGCTATAAGAAGTTGTGTCGATAATATTAAAAAAATATATTTTGTGTTAAATTATGGACCTTTTGTGAATAGATAAAAGGTAGATATTATATGCATGTATTATGTTAATGTGTGTATATATATTATATATTGTTTTTTTTCATATAATTGGGGGTGTTGGAGTGAACTCGTGACTGTGATGATAGGTGTGTCAATTCGTATTTTCGTACCGTGTTTGTGTCGAATTGAGCTATGGGTGTAACAAAAAAATTGTTAATTTCAATCCAAAATTTGACTTAAAAATCTAGACCCGAACATGGAACTAATTTCTTTGGGTCGGGTTTAGGTCAATCTAATTTAGTTTCAGGTTACCCAAAACCCGAACGAACCCGATACAAAACAGACCTGAAATCCTGATTTAATATTTTTCATTTTTTTTACTAATTTAAAATTTTTATATTATTTTAGTTTTAATATAATATAAATATTATAAATTGAAATAATTTTTTTGGGTCAACCCGAAACTAAAACCTGAAACTCGACCTGAATACGACATAAATCTCTTTTGTTTCAGTTTTGGGCCGATCCGATTTTTTGCAAACTCGAAACACCCAAATCCAAACATAAGGAACGTATTTGGCAATTAGCTGATAGTTGTTAGTTGTTAGCTGATTCAATTAGCTGATAGCTGTTAGCTGATTCAATTAGCTGGTTTGACTAGCTGATTCGATTAGCTGTTTGTATTAAAATGTTTGGTAAAACAATTGTTTGATATTAGCTGTATATACGTAACATGACAATTGAGGACATTTCTATTTTATTTTTGTTTCTAATATATTCAATTATGTTCTTTTGAGTTTAGAATGTTTAAAATTTTTGTTATTAGTTATTGAAAATTGTAAAAGTGTTATAAAAGTATTTATTTTTATTACAGTTAGATTTTAAAAAATAGTATATTTTTATTAAAATATATAAATAGTTTTTTCTATTGAAAATGATGTAAAATATAAAATAATAAATTTTTCGTGTATATATTTATTATGTTAGTTATCGATTAGTTCATTATATTTATAATTTTCAATAAATTTAATTTATTTAATTTATTTTTAGTATAAAATTTATATAATGTAATTTTAATATAAAAATAAATTATTAATATTTATATTTTCTATTTTATGTTGATTTTAATAAATTTATATATTTTACAAGTAAAACTATAATATAATAAAATATTCTAATATAATTAATAAATAATCAAAATGTATTTATTTGTGTAAAATGCATAATAAATTTTTAAGGGCATATAAGAAATAAAATTTTTTTTTACAGAAAAAGCTATTTCAAAATACTGGGTAAGTTAGCTTTTCAGAGATTAGTTTTTTGGGTCCAAAAAGCTATCCCAAAAAGCTAATTTTCCAAACACCTAAATTAGCTTTTTGACCGGTCAAACAACTAAAAGCTGTTCAATAAGCTAAAAGCTCTTCAGAAAGCTATTTGCCAAACACCCCCAAGAAATTTTAGGTTGAAAGGGTTCAATTATTCGGATCGGGTTTAATTTTGACACCTCTACGTGAGGTCATGGGTTCAAACCTCCAATTCCTCCGAATTTTGTCTGCTACACATGATTCGTCTAGTGTGACTTGCCTTGTCAGGCTTACTTTGCAAGCTATTAGGTTTGGTTGGAGGTTTACCTAAAGTGCACTCGAAAAGTAGCGGTTGAGAGATTTTACATCATTAAAAAAATATATGCTAAGTTGACATCCTGTAAAAGATAATCTGATGGTATGGAGGTGAATTCGTGACCGTAAGTTCATGAGTTCAAACTTCCGACGCTTTCAGGTCTTGTATGCCATACATAGTTTGTCTATTAAGTTCAAGATGAAAAAACACATAAGAATTAAGAAATATAAATTTAAGAAAGAATACAACAAATATTGATATTTGATGTAAAACCTAATCACAAGCAATCTAAAACTACACGAATGAATCCTTTTTTTAGGGGCACAACCTTCAACCCCCACAAGGGAGGCCCTTGCCCTCCTCAAAGCCCCGGCAACATCACCATTGAAGTCGAATGGTGTTCAAGGAGCTAGATGTAAAATACTTCTCCAAGCTTTTGTGTGGAGCTTTACAACAAAACACAGTTGTTTGATTCATTCTTAAGTAACTTCGTTATTTCTAATTTGGTTTAGTTTGTAATCTTTTGAAATAAAGAGTTGGGATCCTTAGTCCTCTACACCATTCACCTCTCTACCATAATACTCATGAAATATGCACTGTTGGAATCCTTCGTCCCCTGACTTGCTATACAAGTCTTGGAGGGTTGTAGTTATGTAACACTCCAGTTTGCAAGCCACGCAAAGTAGATGTGTCGGGATTAGATTGGTCATACAGGTCAATACGAGTATTTCTAATGCACTTTGTTCTCACTCACGCATTCTAGAAGATTTTCTAGGGGGGCACCGATTATCAAATTATTTTAGAACAAGGATGTTTAACTTTAGAAGTCCTTCAAGTAGACTCCAACAAAAAAATGTGAACATTGTTGATATAAGTAGTTTATTTTATCTCGAATAGCTTAGCATCGGCTCATTCGTACACGGAAGTTGGTCTAGCAACGGTCCAAATCCGAGGGTATCATAAGTTACTATGCTAAATTATACGATGATAGATTACTCATAATACATGTTATATAATACAAATATAACATATGAACTAAAAATACATGACAATAATCTACATAACATATATTATTATTGATCTTAACAAATGGTATATATTCATACAACACACTCTATAAATATGAACAAATAATATATATTTTCAAATAACACAATATGTGTTGTTTGGAAAAGTTGGTATGGTGTTGATTTTTTCTAGTCGGCATTGTAACTAATCATATCCTAGAGTGTTTGGCATATTGTCTCTTGAACTTGTTTTCTTTCTTTGGATCCAAATCTTTTCATTAGCATCAAAGATGAAGATTATGTACAATTTGATAAAACATACCAAAAATTTTAAGAAGTATCATTTATCGTATTAAAAGTTATGTATAACACATTTTATATTGACACCTCACAAAAAACTTAAGTATAGAGATCTTTATAGTACACCCAAATTATACATTGGTATTGTGTTGTTTATATCGGTACGGTATAATATATAGAATTTTAAATTTTGTACTTTGATACCATAACAAACTCTTCGATACGATAACCATATTGTACCAAAAATCTCGGTGTACCTAAGAATTTGGTAATTTTGATAGTTTTCAATACGAAAAGTTCAATATTTGATATGGCTAACATTTGGTACTATATTTATTTGTATACCTGTAAATTTCGTATTTTTTGTATGAAAATTTTGATATTTTATATATCTCTAACTGAGATAGACTTTTTTTCTCATGCCCAAATTCAGAACCATCTCATTAGATAATACATTCATTTATTTTTAAGACTTAGGCCCAATTTTCCTTTATATATGCATACATATATGGATGTATGTATATATATATTTTCGGCGGTATTTGCTCAAATGACTGAGTCAAATCAGCATTACATAATGTTAGTATTATATATAAATATGTGTCGTGTAAATTATATAATTGTATTGTATAGATATATTGGTTGAATTCAAGTCAGCATTGTAACCGAAACATATATATTTATATGTATATTCATCAACTTCAAGCAGAGATAGTAATGGGGTGGGTTCTGGACGAGTTCTACAGTTTCCAGTAATGGCATTGCCTGAAAATCTCAAGTCCTGAAACCGGCTATGTCTCAATACCTGTCCCGCCTTGAATCCATCGGATTTGAGATTGGTGCAAGAAATATTGACTAGTAAAATAATGATAGATAAAATATTGAGAAAATAAGAAACAATGAAAAAGATAAAAATATAAATTTAAATAATACAAACAAATATAAAATAGTATAATATTACATCTGTACCATAAGAAGGGTACTAATTGCATTTTGCTTCATTGTACTTAATATTAAAAATATTTTTATATTTGTATAATTTACTTTACAAATATTATTGTATTTGTATAATAATAGACTAATAGATGTATTTTATTTTTTGCTTTTTATATGTACTACGTATTAATATAATAATTAATATTAAAAAATGTATAAGCAAAAAGTCAATGATATCATTTTTATGGGACGGAGGTAATATTAATTTTGGGTAAATTATATAATACCATTTGTATTTTAGTAAAAATGTACAAACCCGATGCCTCTAGATTTTGTCTGTCACACATGATTCGCCTAGTTTTACTTGCATTGTCGGAAGTTTGCATGCTATTATGTTCAACCATGGTTTATCCATATCACACCGGAGGGTACCGGAAAAAATAAACAAAACACCTTTTATTTTATTTATTGAATGAAATTTTTTTGTGTTGAATTAAAATTTGCACAAAATACCCTTTTTATCCAAATCTAATGTTTTGATGTTAATATGAACTTCATTAGGCAAGTTTTATATATATAAAAGAGGTAAAAATATTAAATAGTCTTTTTTAAATAAAATAAATAGATAAATAATTGATTAATCATTCATTTTATAATTTTTTTTAAAAAAAATTATCTTATTTTTACAAAGACTCTAAAAATAGAAGGATTGACCAATTATTTATTTGTTTTATCCAGAAAGACTATTTAAAAATATCTTATACTACCTCCATCCGGTTCTAAGGGTCTTGTTTACTTTTTGTCTGTTGATATTTGAATATTAATTATTATATCAAAACGTAGTATTAATTAAGAAAAAATTGCAAAAATATTTCAATTATTGTCTTATAATACTAATAAAATGACATTTGTAAAAAAATATATAAATATAAAGATATTTTTAATATCAAATACAAAAATATAAAAGATAAATATGACCGTTAGAGATAGACGAATGAAGTATGTTTTATTTGTATGAAAGTTACATAATTTAGGTCCAATATTTATAATCAAACCCCCATTTTGGACAAAATGATAGTTTTGTGCATATTTTAATTTAACATACAAGAATTTCACACAATAACATTTTTACTGAAATACAAGATGATGTTATACTCCTTCATCCGTCCGGCTCTAAGATTTTCATTTACCTTTTGTGTTGTTGTATTTAACGTTAAAAATATTCTTATATTTGTATAATTTTTTTTGCACAAATATCATTATAATAGTATTACAATACACTAATAGAAATATTTTTGTCATTTTTCCTTAATTTGTGTTACGTTTTCATATATAATTAATATTTAAAGATCAACACGCAGAAAAATAATTGAGACCTCAGAGCAAGACGAAGATAGTATAATTTATTTATTAATTTTTAAAATTATTAATTTAGAGAAATTTGTAATTGAATTCTAAGCAAGTATTTTTTTTTATCAAATTTATAATTTATTTAGAATTTATATTCATTACCCAAGCCCAATCCATTATACTATAAAATATAAAATCCAAATCCAATCTATTAGCACTAAAGCCGGTCTGTTTCAAAATTAAATCCGCTTCATTGTCATCCGGGCGTCCCTGGGCCCGAGCGAAAAGAGCGTCCGCTCAAGGCCCAATTTAAATTGAGGCTCATTATTTATTTATGTTATATATAAATTATTTGATATTAATGTATTAATAAAAGAGTATGATTAGTAGTTAAATTCTATCTACATTCTCTTTTAGGTTTAGATTCAAACCTAAATACCTTCAAAATTTAAAACGTACGGTAGGCGGCGGATGTTTGACGATGGCTTTTCCACTCGGTCCCTGATGGCCAGCAGGGGATTCGGTATAACAGCTCATGTTCGTTTGCGCTGCGCGTTGCCGCAGGGCAGGACACATCTTAGCTGTAGGAAGTATGGTTCCGATGGCCTTACGCGCGTGATCGGCCAAAGGATAGAAATAACGACTTTTGCAAACATGTGGAATATATTTTGCCAGATAAATACAGGACAAAAGTGATAATGGGGTATACATGTGGGATATTTTTTGCAATTTTCCCTATAAAAATATTACGAAATTTATTTTATTTAATAATTTATATTCTATTATAAGTAAAAGAAATCGGAGTAGATCATTTATATATATTTAGGAGTCTTTTATTTTTGTTTTAATTATCTTTTTGCACTAAGAAAATAATAAATATTAGACAAATTATTATTATTATTATTATTATTAGGCAAAATTATCAATAACTCATTTATGATTTCGAAACTCAGTGTAAATCCTCTGTATACTTTAAAAATGACATGAACCCCCTTATATTTTAAAAAAACATTCAATAAAATTCATTTTTATATATTTTTGGTGATAAGAATATGACTTTTTATCTATAGTTTTTGCACGGCGGAATTTCATACAACGTTTATTAAAATATAAGAGAGTGTTACGCAATTTGTAAAGTATATAAAAAATTTATACTAAATTTCGAAATTAAATTTATGCTAAACAAATATTTTTTTTATTTATATTTTATTATAAATAAAAAATATTATATATATATATTTAAGGGCTCTTATTTTTATTTCGCCCAGTCTTTCGAAAGCCAAGAACAGTCCTAATTGTCATCCCTAATTTTATAGTTCGAGCTTGAGCCCGAATCCGAATCCGAATCCGAGCCCGAGCCCAACCCCCCTTCTATATATATCCCTAATTCCATTTGCCCTTCCCATTTCCCTTAATCGAATTTACACACAAGCGGCTCTTCCTCTTCTTCAAAAATCTTCAGCGACTTCTTCCCCTACCGTCTTCTGCTGCAATTTACAGCGCAATCAAGATTGTAAGTTCTGACCCTCTCTCCCTTTTAATCGGTTTCAATCTTTGTATGGCTAAAAGAGAAGCAAGTGCGAATCTTTAATCATTCACTGCAATTTTGGTTTATGACGTGTTTACAGTTTTGTTACTATTTCCGTTCGATTTTGCTGTCTTATTGAATAAAGAGAAGCAATTCTGAGAATCTTTCAATTACTTTGACGTGTTTTTGCTTTCGGGTCCGACCCGGACCCGGAGGGTTTTGGTCGGGCGGGGCCCGTGTCCGGTGCGTCTCCACCCAGTGGTTACAAGCATTTGACAATGGGAATAACGTTAACATTCTGTTTGCAAGTTGGGTTGGGATCGGTGCTTTTGGAGCAGGAAAATGGAAATTGATTTTCAATACAAAATAAAGATGGCTGAAAAAAAAATGCTATGAATAGAAAGGGATCATCTAATGTTGTGAAGGTTCTAATGCTTCAATGAACCTACATTATTAATTCCTCATTGTTGATTCTTGTATCGACTTTGCAAGAATATTTTGTAATCCAATGCTCTATGTTCCATAGATTAGAATTGGCTATAAGTCCTTGACACTAGCTTAACTAATTATAGCTCATGAAATTGGGCGATGATTTGATAAAACTCGAAACTCAACTTATTACTCTGTTGAGACCTTCCTTAATCGAGCTAACCTTATCTAAGTTAAACCTATTACTCCATGGGTCAGATTAACTAATCCATTTGATGCACGTTACCGGACCTAATCACCAATTCAAAATTGGACTTTGAATTCAGCCGAGCTGAAATAGTTGTAGTTGAATTGATTGACCTTGACACCTTGTTGAGAAGCTGAATTTTGTTATTTTTGTTGGCCAATAGTGATATATTGTTGAGAAGCATCTTCACTTTAGCATATGATGCAAGCCTCATTTCCACCCTATCCCATTAGCGGTTGAAGTCGAAATTAGGTAGGTTTGCATAGCAGCTTGATTTGATGTTTTGAGAGGGAATAGTTCATTTTTTGGGGAGCGTAGGAATTGCCTAGTGATGAAATAGAAAAAGTTTATGAAAGAACAAACCTTAAATGTTCAATTTTCTTTATCGTCATTTAGGCATTACTTTGAGATTGTATATTTTTCTTTTTATGTATTTATCTATTGTTTTAATATACTAACAGCTACTTTGGGTGTTTTCAAGGAAAATGAAGGAAGGAGAATCAAAATAAGTATTTGTTTGGAGTTTGGATTTTGGTTTGAGGTTGGGTTTTGAATAATTAAATTTTGAATTTAAATAATTGTTTGATGTAATACAAATGTGTATTGATGTGATATTTTGAATGTAAAATTACTTTTGACTCTAATATAAAACATAGATACTTGATTTGATTTGTTTTAGGAGGAAGAATTAATGAATATTGAATCCTTCAGAAACCCCATTCAAACACGCCGTTAAAGACTTTTCAGCATAACATAGAAGATTTCCCAACTTGATGTTATGTGTGTTTGGTTGTCATGGGAATACTTTGTGGTGTTTTGGATTTGATTTTTTTTTAATATAAAGTAGGTGTCGTATGTGACGTTTTAAATAGAAAATAGCTGTAGGATGTGATATTTGTAGAGAAGAAGTGTCTTAACTTTAGGTTGCATAGTGTGAAAACAAAGTTGAAAACACAACAAGCCTCTCTTAGTTTTCAATTAGAGTTTTGCTTTTGCGTTAAAGGGGACAATTACACGGTTAAGTTTTGAGTTAGCCTAGATCCAATGCCATTTGAACAAAAAACTAACTATAGTAAGTTGAGTTGACAAGTACACGGTCAAGCTTTGAGTTAGCTTAGATTCAATGCCATTCGAACACAAAAGCTAACTATAGTAAGTTGAGTTGACAAGTACATGGTCAAGGTTTGAGTTAGCTTAGATTCAATGCCATTCGAACACAAAAGCTAACTATAGTAAGTTGAGTTGGTCTTATCATTTCATACCTTAACATATCATTAGCATAAATAAGTCTAAGGGTTAAATGGGTAATTTTTAAGTCTTACGTGAAAATTTGATATAACCAAGTATTTTTAAGGTCATTTTTGTGTGCATGATGATGAAAGTAGCTCGATTTTTTTGGTGAACTTGTTCCTTGATTGCCTCTTTCCCAACTTAAGTAAATTGTTGGTTAAGAACGTGACAATGATTTTTTTTTTTTTTTTTATCTACTTCATTTTTATGTGTGGGCGACTTTTCTAATGATACTTGCACGAAAATGGCATTTATTTTCTTACAGAGGAAGCGGAAACTTGAGTGATTGTTCAAAGATAAGCTCGGAGACCTTGGCTTTGTTTTGCCTAAATGTCAAAATCCAACAAAATTGGGGAAATGGCTAATATCTAATGCCTCATCACTATCGGTGTTTCTCGGGGTTTCTCAATCTTGTTGACTATACAATAATTCAAACCCCATTAATCTAGAGAAGCTAATGCTTGATAAAGCATTCTCATTAAAAAATAGCGATCCAATTCACCCTTTGAGCTCATCAATGTCGAATGGTACACGTAAGAGACACTCCGAACTTACTAAGCCGTCAACTTGGCTACTCAGTTGCATAAGACATGATCCTAAAAAAAATGTAATCCCAATTGGCCCTCGTTTCCAAGTTGATGTTCCCAAATGGGAGGGCACAATTGACAAAAGTCGTCTTCTTGATGCATATAAAAGGGATTATAATAATTCCAAGTGGTTGGGTTCCCATATTTGGCCAATTGACATTCCTAATAAGACAATCACCGAGAAAGCAATTGGTGATGGGCGGCCCAACTCATGTTCTTGTGCCCTCCCAGGATCGGTTGATTGTATCAAACGCCATATATTGGAAAAAAGGCTACTTTTGAAACGTGAGTTGGGATCCGCATTTTTTACTTGGAAATTCGATGAGATGGGTGAACAAGTTTCAAAATCATGGTCAATGAAGGATCGCAAAGCATTTGAATCAATAGTTAGAATGAAGCCATCATCTGACGAGAAGGACTTTGTGTGGCGTGCCTTGAGGCGTTTTCCTAACAAAGGTCGTAAAGACATTGTTAGCTATTATTTTAATGTTTGTGTTCCCTATCGCTTGAGCCTTCAAACAAGGATGCCATCCATAACCGAAGTGGACACTGATGATGAAGATGAGGTAATGGATTGTAAGTATTTGGGTATGAAGAAAAAACCTAGAAAAGGGAAGATGCGCAAGTCATAATTTGTAAGAGACTAACGCTATCTACAATCATAAGGAGAAGAAGATGCCCAAATTGACATTCCGACATAAGTTCCAACACAAGGTTTGTTTACTTCAAAAGCATGATTTGCAAATTTATATTTTGATTCCTTTTTTAGACTATCCTTTGCTTATTGTATGATATATAGAGAAAAACATGCATTAAATTTTGCTCGCAAATCATGATAGTTGTAATGAGAGGTTGTTCTTTCAATTGTTGATTATCTTATGTTAAGCTTCATTTAAAACCATGTGTTGTTTGTTTGTCCTTGTGTTTGTTGGTAAAGTTATACCGTGCTTCGACCTTGTCTTAGCGACAAATGAGTGCTCTTCTTGAGCTTATAATTAATTGAATTTCCTTTTGTGTTATCAATGGCTTTAGATTATGTTTGGATAATTGTTAAGTAACCATCTTTGGCGAATTCTTATCTTGATGATAGTTCTTAATGTTTTCAAATGATCTTTTGGTTGATGAATGGCAAATTCGTTTCTTGTTGCCAATCTTTTCCTTTTTAGCTTTCAAAAATTTTAGAGCCACACTTCTATATATATCATTTGGTAGTTGGCTTCTCAAAGGGCAAAAAATTAAAAGATGTGAACACATGTTTCCTTAAGTTGGCCTCTTATAGAAATGAATTTTATGAGTGCTTGGGCGAGAGTAATTCTAGGATGAGTGACCTCTAGAAAGAACAAAAGAAGTGCTCTCTTATAGAAATGAATTTTATGAGTGCTTGGGCGTGAGTAATGCTAGGATGAGTAATCTCTTTGGTAAGTACCAAGTACTATAATAACATGTGCTATAAATGATTTTAATGCTTATGTGATAGTGCTCCTCACTATTTTAATCTAATGATTTACATTTGTTTACATATATTTTTAATTTACTAAGGTATTATCTACCATAAGTTTTTCAAATATTATTTTGAAATAATTATTTTTCTTATAAACTATTATACTTTTTCCGTCCGTCTTTAAAAGTCACATTTATCTTTTGCATCATTGTACTTAATATTAAAATATTTTTATATTTGTATGATTTTTTGTACAAATGTCCTTCGATTAGTATTATAAGACACTAATTGAAGTATTTTTGCAATTTTTTCTTAATTTGTACTACGTTTTGATATAATAGTCATGAGTAAACTGTTTTTTTAATCCCGTAATTGGACCCTCTTATCATTTTAGTCTCGTAAGTGGAGCATGTCGCAAACTAGTCCCATAAGTGAAAAATTTTCGTTGTTTTAATCCTCTGGTGCCGGAGGCGCCCGCGTGGCTCGCTGGAAGCCACGTGTCCGCTAGTGTCCCACCAGGTCAGCGACACCTGGTGGACACGTAGATTTTAATTTTTTTTCATTTTTTTTAATTTTTTTTAATTCTTTTATAATGGACCAAATAAATAAATTTTTTAAAAAATTAAAAAATAAAAATAAAAAATAAAATCCACGTGTCCGCCAGGTGTCGCTGACCTGGCGGACATGTGGCCTCCGGCGAGCTACGCGAGCGTCTCCGGTGCCGGAGGACTAAAACAGCGAAATTTTTTCACTTATGGGACTAGTTTGCGACAGACTTCACTTACGGGACTAAAATGATAAGGGGGTCCAATAGTTTAATGTTTTTTAGGGTTAAAAAATGGAATTTTAATAGAATTAGTAATGTAAATTTTGAATTAAAGTAGATTGAGCGTAAAAAGAATATGAAGGGTCCATTGGTGACAATAATGTAAAGTGATGGAAAATAGTGATAGAAATTTAAAGAGATATTATATTTCCTAACTAAATACGGTATGAACACACTTTTGATAGATGAAGTAAAATGGTATTTTGAGGGCACAAATGTATAATGAGGTTGTGGTATTTTGAGAAGATAAGAAAGAGGAAGAAGCCATAGTTGCAAGATGGGGGTGAAGAAAAAGAATAGGGGAAGAAGAAGAAGAAAAAAAAAAAAAAAAAAAAGGTAAGAAGATGTGCACTTGTATACAACAACTTAGGGTAAAAGTTTCTTTTATTTTTAATATTATTTCCGTCTCATTCCAAAGTACCCACTTGAGTTTTATAATAGATTAATAAATAAAAATATTTTATTGGTTAATAGAAGTGTGTAAGATGATTTTGATATTTTTGTTATTTGTACTTAATTATAAAATAATTGTATATGTAATAGTATGTTTGTAATTTATGTAAAAGTTGTATTTTAGTAGGTAAAATTGCTTATAACCAACATGTATGTGAAACTGCCTTGTATTTTTAAAACAAATTGCACAAAATCTTTTTTACGGGTTTATGTGCAATATTTTTGAAAATACGAAGGAGTTTTGCGCACTTTTTAGAGAATTTTGTATAATATTTTCTAAAATACAATGAAGCTCAAGCAGTTTCTAAATCATAGGGAAGAATAGTGCAGACTTTTTAAACCACAAATGAATTATATATAGTTTTGTAATTTTATTATTAGCGTGTGATTACTTTTATTATAATAAGAAATGAATACTTTTGAGTGAGACAAAACAGAATGATATAAATAATACTTCCAGTTAAGACGTAAGGAGAAATAAATTTAGAGTTAAAATTATTAGAGAAAGTTATTTTTTAGTCTCGTAACTGTCTTATTATGTTAGTCTCATAACTAGAGCTTATATATAAATCGTCCTATGAGTGAATTGTTTTGGCACAATTGGTCTTCCGGCGGCAGAGATGTGCAAGTGACACCTGCGTGGCACTCCGGAGCAGGCCCGTTCCTGACATGTCGGGGCCTGGGACAAAATTTTGAAAAAAGGGTCCTAAAATAAATTTATTTGTTTAAAAGTATATGTAAGTTTATTATTGGAAAAATTCAATGTAATATTTTATCAACTTTAGAACAAAATTTATTTTAAGGAAAATTAAACAATACATAATACAACTAAAAACAATTTACATCAACTATTGGAATCGGAATTAAAATCCAAAATACCAACCAAATTTTCTATTATTATTTTGATCTTTACTTTTCTGATTGCCATCATCCGTTGCCCTATTTTCAGCCATGTCCGCTAATTTCTCCACCAACGCCAACAAAATCCAAACATGTTTTGCGATGAAAATACAAATAAGCATATTACTATATAGTACCTCATCTTGCAATGGTAGGCGTGGAAGGCTAAGAATTGTGCAAACTAGGCCCGACGGGAAAGTCACACTAGACGAATCATGTGTGGCAGGTGACTTGAGGCGTCAGGGGTTTGAACTCATGACCTCAAGATCACAAGTCCAACTCCTACACCACCGATCCATTCCTTACGGGACCATAGTTTTAAAATTTTATTTTCCCTACTTGTGGTTCAAAAAGTATTGAAAAAAAAAAATCCCCTTCTATTAGTATTTAGTGGCTATTGTAATAGATGCGCCTCAACTGCGAGTTTTAGAACAAAATTCTATATAAAAGGGGTTGAAGTTACGAAAATACCCTCCCGGGTATTATTTAAAGTATTTTCCTTCTTCACCCCTACAATCCTGCCTGTGAAGTCATTGAAGGTCCGAGCTCGTGGGTTTCCATTGCCTTCTCCGGAGTCAAAGTGTTCAGATCCTTCGGTTATGTCAGTTTCGAACAGTAGTTCATTTCTTTTATTTGGGTTTTGTTAATTTATTGTTAATTTTTTTGTTTTTTTGTTTAACAAAATCGGAGCTCGGTTCTTCGGGTACCCCTCCAATTTCATCTGAAACTGTTAAGAAAATATTTTAAGTTTGCGATATTTCACGGTGAAGAAGTGGGTTCGGTAAATTGTGATTAAATTTTTGTTAAGAATCTGTTTCAAAGGTAATTTGTGTGTGTGTTTAGAACAACCGGTTTGAGTTTGGTCGATGTAGGAAATTTCTTTTTTTTTTTTTTTTTTATGATGTGGGAACTCGCAGCCGCTATCCGAAAGTGCGCACTGGGTAAACTACCGGCCGAACCTAATACCCTGCAAACTAAGCCTGACAGGCAAGTCACAACGAACTATGTGTGGCAGGTGACCTACGTCCAACCTCTACATCATCAGGCCATCCCTTGCGAGACGATGTAGGAATTTTTTTTTTTTTGGGCAGGAAGTGAGTTTGGGTAATTTCATCTTGAGAACCGTAAGACGGTGGCCACCATGCACGATGCCAGGTCTGGCCGCTTCCGGATGTACAGCTGCTGCACTTCCGCGCCCTCCTTGCTGCTGCTGCTCTCCATTATTACTGTATGGGCTCTGGATCGAACTAAATCGAATTAGAGAAGAAGGAGGATATTGCTAAGAAGGATTTCGGCGAGATATACTACAATTGGAATTCAATTCAATTTAGTTGGACAATGAGTGAAATGCATTTTACAAAAAAGTTAAAATTTAGCTGTAAAAAAATTTGTAGCAAAAGGTAATGAATTCGTAGCAAAAAATTTTTTTCGATGAAATGAGTTTCGTCGTCTATACTGCGTTGGTAAAAGTCTTTGATGACAAATTTGACTTTCGAAACGAAAGATAAATTTATTGTAATTAAAATTAGGGTAAATTGTTTTTTTAGTCCCGTAACTTGACCCATTTATCATTTTAGTCCTTTAAGTGGAGCCTGTCATAAACTAGTCCCATAAGTGAAATTTTCGTTGTTTTAGTCCTGGCACCGGAGACGCCCGCGTGGCTCGCCGGAGGTGACGTGTCCGCCAGGTGTCCTGCCAAGTCAGCGACACCTAGCGAACACGTGGATTTTTTTTTTAATTTTTTAATTTATTTTATTTTTTTAATTGGACCAAATAAAAAAAATACAAATAAAATTTAAAATAAATTAAAAATAAGTTTTAAAAAAAATTTAAAAAATGAAAAAAAAAATCCACGTGTCCGCCAGGTCAGCGACACCTGGCGGACACGTCACATCCGGCGAACCATGCGGGTATCTCTGGCGCCGGAGGACTAAAACAACGAAAATTTTTTACTTATGGGACTAATTTGCGACATGCTCCACTTACGGGACTAAAATGATAAGAGAGTTCAGTTACGAGACTAAAAAAACAATTTACCCTTAAAATTAAAACAACTATGAAAATATGATTTCATAGTTAAAATCCTTTTAATATAAAAATAAATTTCATAATAAAAGAATTTTAGCAACAAAATATGCCTGAGTTTTTTAGTCAACTGGTTTTAGCCATCAAGGATGCTTTTCTAGCTAAAACTTTTTTCTATGAAAATATAATTTTAGAACCAGGAGGGGTTTTAGCAAATTA